TCTTGGTGCTTTTTGGCTTTTTGATGACCAGAGTTTGTGCGTTTTTTCCAATACCACGTAAAAGCCCACCGAGATCGAAAAACTTTAGACGAGCTCCGGGAGTCTGGTTTGGATGATTATTTTGACTGCCGCCAGGACCTTGAGTTGTTGAAGTACTCGGAAATTCCGGACCACCTGTTGCTTGTGGAACACTTTGGCTATTTAGACTTGGACTTGAATCAACAGATTCGATTGTCTCGCTGGGTTGTGGCAAAATGGCATGAACACTGGTGGCCAAGGCTGCAATTGTAAAGGCTGAGATGTGTGTGAATTTCATTTGATCAAGTATAACTATGTATGTATTATTGGAGGTCAACGAGCCTGCTTTTATAACCATCATAACAATCGGTTGGAATATTTTTATACATTATTGCTATGTGTTTATTCCGCATATCAGGGATAAAGGCCAGTATGAATATAGGGCTGGGATATCTAACCCTAAATGGGCCAATATTGACAGTGTATGATCAAATGCTTGGTTTGAATCCAAACTGAAAACTCCACTTTAGTTTAATTACCACAATTTGTGCCGTTGATTTCTATATTTTCACCTTTTGGCCCTGATGTCTGATGTCTGGTGACCCTTTTTGGCCATTATACAGAGTACAATCGCTTAGTTACAGTCACCGCACAACACCAAGCTTGGTGACTTTCTGTTTAGTCAATATGCGGCCCATCAAACTGAATCGATGATTTGTCCGCATCAACAGTTGTCGATAGTTTAAATTGCCACTCAATTTGGACATCAATGTATACAATCAACTCACACCTAGATTATATCAATATATTAACTTGACGACATTCACACCCACAATCAACATTAACAATTTGGGTTCAATTGGATTGCCCAGTATTGGTTCATGATATGGCCAGCAACCATGTGTATGGTGAATAGCAAACAGGCTTTATCCGCACTTTCACAAGAGATCAGTCGTGTATATGACATTCCAACCACTACAACTGAAACTGCAACTACAGCCAACAGTGATCCAATGACAGTTTCTGGTCATCAGATCATACACTCTGCAATGCCGTTACTATATCCAAACCGTGACTCTGAATCGATATATTTGTGAGTATATTGTAAAATGGTTGTTTTCAGATCAAAAAGCCAATAAAATCAGCATATCGATATAACAATCTTGTATTGATTCATGATATCAAGTTGGATTGCTTGACAAAATATAAATGCTGCAATGATCAATGTTGTTGCTGTTGGTTTACAGTTTGGCAGCACCACCTTGGAAACGAGTACAAACATCGGTCCAGTTGATGACATTCCACCAGGCAGCAACGTAGTTGGCACGAACATTGCGGTATTTGACATAGTAGGCATGTTCCCAGACATCAAGAGCAAGTAAAGTCATGGCACCAGTACCTGCAAACTGAGGTGCAAACTCGGGATGATCTTGATTGGCAGTGGTCACGATTGACATGGTAGAACTCGAAGGAGTCCAAGTAAGAAACACCCAACCAGATCCGAATACACCAAGAGCTGCTGCTGTAAACTGCTGCTTGAATGTCTCGATGGATCCAAACGACTTGACAAGCTGTTTGCCAAACTCGGCGTCGGCATTCAGAGCAAGCTTCTCTGGTCCCATATTCGAAAAGTAGATGCCATGGTTCACTGCCATTGCAAATAGAATACAAGATTGTTAAATCACACTAGTGGTCGAGACAATACCAGGGAGTATCACCAGTAGATATTGGGGCGTAATATCAGATATTCATATGGATTGATGCAACATACCGTAACCACCGCCATTGTTACGCACAGTCTGACGGACCTTTGGAGATGGCCAGGGGAGTGGTTCAGTCTTTCCTGCATCCTCGCGAGCAATAATACGCAGGAGATCTTCAATGGATGAAAACGATGCCTTTTCAGTAAACGCTGCACACTGCGACAGTTCAACAAGAGCCTTGTTAAGATTGTCGGTATAAGCCTGATGATGTTTGGTATGATGCAGAGTCATGGTTGCCTCATCGATATGGGGCTCAAGAGCATCATAAGCATAGCTGATCTTTGGGAGAGTCTTTGCAGTAAACATGTGTTGATTGTGGGAATTGGTCAAAGTCTGGATTGGCTTCAACACTCGAATCGGCTGCATTTCCAAAGCCATTGACGATGTAATGCATATTGAATGCTGTTGCAGAAACAAGAGCGGCAATTGGATTACTGCACACAACATCTGGTATAACTACATTTATGCTGATTTGTGTTGGCCAATTACTGGACTAGAGTTGCAGTCGTTTGGATTTTACCAGATCTACTTTACATATTGACATTGAATAATGTCATGAATTGTCATCAATGTCAGCCCGTCGTATCAGACAATGCATTTATTTTGGTTTATCTGCACTGTTCACATTCATAAATGCATGGACCAATCAATCGATCCATCCATGAATAAATATCCAAAAATTGAACATGATGCTATACCAACTAATGTGGTAACTCGATGTTGGACCAAATCAGCTATTAACCAGTCATGATGCTCAAAACGACTCGTCCGTTTGAGGCAGTAGTCTACGCAGTGTTACCGAGATTCGTTCCGTTCGAGGATATATCTCTCCTTGCCATTGATCATTTAGTCGTACAGGTATACCATGTTTCCAATCCCATCTAGCTTCACCAGAAAGTCCAATCAAATCTCCTTGTTGAAGAAACATTTCAATCGTGCCAGCTGGTTGGTGATGGTTTTGATTGACTTTTGGCTGATGGTTTTGATTGGCATTATCAGATGGTGAAAACTCCATAATACATGAGCCGCTGATACTCGCCACAACTATCCCATCTGCAAATCGATTCACCAGATCCACATGCGATACCAGTCCATCATTTGGATAGTAATGGTTGGCAATCATGTGGTCGAATAGCGGTGTCCTGTATGCAAAAGTCGAGTTTAACTTTACAAACATGACAATGTAAACTCGAATCTATCGAGTGGCCATAGTAAAGCATGTATGCAAACATCTGACATTTTACCTTGACATCAAGGTTGGACAGACTAGCTGTTTACCCAATTGGCATAGTAGATCTAAAAAGGATGGAATAGTTCCAAATCGCACTACCTGATTAATGCCTACTTGTGGTCGGAACCAATTGTTATCCTTAATATGGGCCAATATAGATTGACATTCTGTTTCTGAAAGAGCGTGCTTCCAGAGCAATAGTCCAGGTATGGATGTGGTTTGTGGACAGCCTCTGAATGGATTACTGCCTTGCTCTACAAAGGCTGGAATTGCAGTCTGATCAAAGAGTATGTCATCCTTCACAAGAACACAATCTGATGGCTCAGAGGTTGCATTAGGCGGCGGGGTCTGTGGGCCGAACAGTTCTAATAGCAGATCTTGATCATCTTGCTCTGCTTTGTTCATGATGAAATCAAAATGAATTATAAAACATTCGTGGCTATCGACAATGGTGATGGTTGCTGACAATTTTTGACACATCTCTTATTCTCATCCCCATTGTCGCTAGGTGTGAACGTTTGTAATCATTCGTCTATAGTCCCATTCATGAGCAAAAATGGTTTAACCAGTTCATGATTACCAAAACATGGATGCATCCAAACATCATGTTAAAAAGTTACCTTGATACGTTCATCTTACAGCCGTATTCACATAAAATGAAACACTAAATGTCAAAATACATGATAAACAGTCATGTTTGATGGTTGCCAATCTTACTGTGCAACAATATGGTCCTTGAACTCATCAGTTTACTGGTCTTCGTGTTCATTCCTGTTTGAATACATTCCACATCTTTTCAACCTCCAACTTTCCTTTGTTCCAAACATTGCGTGACTGGCATGGAAGATTGTTGTGAATGCCGAGTGTTTCACAGATGGATCTATCTCACATAGCAGTATATGTTGAAAGGGATGAAATGGGCTTAAAAAATTATGGGTGAATAGTGCTACTAATCTAGATAAACTGGATCAATTACAGCGTAGTATTATCGTGAATGGTAAGTGCATAAACTCTACTTGACAGTTCACTCTGTATTTCTAGTTTGTTTATTTTGGCCTTGTCATTTTAAACACCAAGATTTAGAATGGTTTTTACAACAGCCTTGCAGAAAGCAAGCAAGACTTGTCAAGATTTCTGCATCAGATCAAATCCCAGCTGCATTCATCTCAATATCTAAATATCAAAGGTATTGAGCATGTTATGTGACTCAATTCGTCTGCATCAAAAACAAGCGTTAGTAGTATTGAAAAGATCATTAAAGTGGTGATGTTACAACCAGTAAAATAAATTCTGCAAGCACATATAGTTTCACCAATTATTATATATTAGTTTGAACGTGTTCAGTAACCCAAAAATGTAGTAAATGATCATAGAATGAACATGTTCCTATAATACTATCAGGGTGCATGGCTGATGATGTTTGGTCTGCAAAAGACCAATCAGCACCATATGCAATCGATTTGTGATGCATGTATTCTTGCACATGCTCTAGCTTAGTCATATCTACAGCATGTCAACAGTTAGTCTTAACATCTACAATAGAACTGAAGCCGACTTGAATTACCTTGGTTCAATAATTGATAAATATGAAATCCATTGTACATGCATGCAGCAAGAAGCAGTGTTGGATCTGTGGGGTGCCATTTAAGACGCCAAACACCGCCTCCGCTAGATATTTCAGAAACAGGACGCTTGATTGAGCGAGTATCCCAAATGTACACGTTTTCATCGTATGATCCTGTTGCCAAAACATGATCCCAAGTTGGATGGGATGCAATCGAGCATACACCAGCTTGATGACTAAATTCAAATAAAAATGATTATGGCTCAAACGTTCGAGTAACTTCAATGATACAGCCAAAAAGTACCATTTGTTAACAAATATGGGACTATTGCTTTCCATACGAGTATCCCATCCTTTGAATAGGCTATCATCGCCGCCAGAATAAATTGTAGATGTTTGATGACAGTTGAATCCAACGATCCATGCCTCGAATTGATGTGCTGTCCATTCTCTTTGCTTTACAAGACCAGCGTCTGGTGTAACTGTGTAGGTAGAAAAACTGCCATCACTCTCACTGATGGCACACGTATGCCCAGCACTGATTTTTAAAATAATAGTTTTTCAAATCGAGTAAATAGATTGTTTAAAGCTGCCAATAAACAATGATCTCCTACTTGGGATTCACTCTATTGGCCCAGTCTGCAGATAGATTTAGTATTCCGGGTTTGCCATTATGCAATGATAGGATCGTCGACAGCTTCCCATTCTATCATATTACAAAATTCAGGTTATTTTCATCAGCAAATGCAATTCTGATTGATGGTCCAATAGTCGAGGTAGGATGCATTGAATTTACACCCACCATATCAAGACTCATTATGTTTGTTTCGCCAGTAGATGTTACAACAGCTGCAATTGGTTCACCGTTGAATGGCTGGTGTGACCATTTAATGTCCAAGATTGCTGAAGATTCTTGACGAAACACCTCTTTCCTGATATGGGAGTGCATTTAAAAGTGAATGTAGTATCTCATGAGTACTATACTAAAAATAGAGCAAGATCAGGTTGAGCTAGAACTCACACTTGAAGGGCATTGGCTGAAGACTGAAGGTCATTAGGAGTTCTATCTACACTGTAAATGTAAAGCCTGCCTGTTCGATTTGTAATGGATTTGTCAAGAGAGTCGTCACTTGGTGAGGGTTCAAGAACCTGGTATGTTCCAACAGCAGCATATTGCTCATACTTGGGAATAGGGCAGAACTCGACTGAATCTGCACTGTATTCAGTGTCAAAACAAATAGCTTTCAAACTCGTAGCCGTATCCATGTGAAATGGATTGCTAAATAAAGGTGAGTAGAATAAACAGTCAATCTCATGAAATGATAATTTACTGGACAATATTGTTTTTAAACTCTTTAGTCGACTATTCTAGTGATTGGCATACATAGTTGTATTCGTAAAATATGCAATGATTGGTTTTTGAATTAAAACGTATCCGAGATTTTAGAATCAGCAGATGAGCCCAATATATGGATTAGAATGGATGAATCTGTTAATCGTACAGTGCATGTCAAACAAGCAATTATTGCATGATAAAGTGTTTTACATGAATACAACTAGCACGTAGATCGTTTAAAGTTGGCAACAGCCTTGCATTCTAGTTGGATTGTTCAAACCCAAAAAACCGCATGAAAATTCTCCGCTGAATTCATTACCGAATTATAGGCCGAATCTGCACATTACACGTCGAGTGGTTTTCAAAGTTTCCATTCACAACAGTCATCAAATCCGTCATTCCACCACAGCTGGTAAAACGAATCGTTGGGTCGCTTCGAACCAGAGTTTCTTGGCCTTTTCGTCATCGATATTCTCCTAGTAGCCCTGCTAGTTTATCTAAAGAGTCTGCTTCACCATCACCCATCTCCTCACTTCTATCTCAACTTGATATGGAGGAAGTCACCTTGGTTCCAAGACCCAGAAATGAATCTGGATGGTCCTTGTTTTCATGGAGACCCACTTCTATTGAAAAGGCTGTAGAGGCTGAACATAGACTGTTGGCCCAGTTTTTAAACATTCGGTTCACTGGTTCTGAGCAGCCAAAGGCTCCTCTTCCTTTGTCTTTAAAGTCCACATCATCGTCATACTTTGGCTGTTCCAAGTCTAGCACTGCAGCAACTGTGGCAACCGAAGACCATGTTCCAGACCCACGTCTGCCAAATGCAGAGCTCGGTCAGGTCCAAGTCGGTCCAGGCCACTTTATCAATACTCTTATCCTCGAGCAGGCATGGCGCAGAGAAGAGCAAGGCAGTGTCCAGCCAATAGCCAGCTCAGTTGGTAGTTTTCTTTTTCGAACATTTCACAACTTGGCTTTCGGTGCTGTCAAGGATGCTCCAGTAAAGAATTTAGTCTTGACTCATGGCTATGGTGCCGGGCTTGGATTCTTTTACAAGAGCTATCCCACATTCAGTCAAATACCAGGATACCGAGTATTTGCAATTGATTGGCTTGGCATGGCAAATAGCAGCAGACCCCCTTTCCCTACTATGAGCAAACAGCTTACTGAAGCGGAAACAGTAGCTGCTACCGAGGCCTTTTTTATCGATTCTCTCGAGGAATGGCGAATCAAAATGGGTCTGGAAAAGATTGTTTTGATGGGTCATAGTATGGGCGGATATCTATCCTCAGCATATGCTCTCAAGTATCCTGACCGTGTCGAAAAACTGCTTCTTGTTTCTCCTGGTCAGTTAGCAGTGTTGATCTTGGAATGAGATTCAATGGAGTGGATTGCTGTTTGTCCAAATGCTGCCATGATAAACTGACTATTGTTACTGCTGTAGTTGGAGTTCCAGTCCAGCCTCCAAAAGAAGAAGTCAAACCAAGAACTGGCATTTTTTTCACTTTGGCTAGAAACATGTGGCAGATGAATATTACGCCCATGTCTATCATTCGGACATTTGGACCTTGGGGTATGCGTTTTGATTACATGCCTTGATCAATTGTTTGGTTCTGTATGTAGTCCCTCTAATTCATGCACAATCAGGCCCATCATTAGTAAAGACATATACATCGCGCAGATTCGAAAATATGGATTCTGCCGAAGTATCGTTGATCGAGTCATATATTTATCATATCTCTGCTCAGCCAGGAAGTGGAGAATTCGCACTGGCTAGATTGCTATCACCGGTAGGCATATGTATTTTGTCGGCGTTGCTACTCCGCATGACTGACATTGACGATCATTTTTAAATGCTTCTATAAGGGTGCATGGGCATTTTCACCATTGCACAATCGACTTTGTGGTCTAAAAATGCCAGTTACATTTATTTGTAAGTTTGATCTTGCTTTTAGTGCTGGATTTCAAAATCTGGTCTTTTATTTACACTTTGTATTGCTAGATGGTAATGTAGATTGGATGGATTTCCGTCATGCTATGGTCACAGCACCTACAATACCCACTAATAGTCGCGTATCAGTGATTAAAGATGCTGGGCATCACATGTACTTTGGTTAGTTTGTCATGATAGGCATTTGTATACTTTTGATTTTGTAAATGTTGAATAGTTTAGTGGCTGATATTTACTGCTTAGATAACCCTGTCGGTTTTGATAATTCAATTATTGCGGAGCTGTCCAATTCTCCAATTGGACCTTATTCTGTTCCAGAAGTAGAATATGTCTACTTGAAATAGGGCTAGTTGGAGCATCAATTTACAGCTGTATTCACATACTCTGGAGCACTAAATAAGGACTCCAGAGTATGTAATAAACAATCGATCTCATGAAATGATTGCTCAGTTTACTGGACAATACTGTGGTCCAGGCTCATTGACATGGTTACTGATCTCCAGATGATGGTCATGGAACCAACTGTTGTATTCCTACAATTATTATTTTTAAACTAGACTGTAAGCGTATCCGAAATATTTCAGAATAGGGATTGCATTGACAACAATCATGCTTAATATCCGACTGCAATGGATGAATCTGGTGATTATACAATGACCATTTCAAAAGTGGAAAAAGAATATTTTAATTGAGCATCATACGATGGACGTTGTGTCTATTGAGTTGAGAGTGTGGATTTGTAGTAAGAAAACAATGAATATTTAATCATTATCTACTCCAAGGTAATATGCAAGATAGTGTTTCATTTTACATGAATACGGCTGTAATATAAACTTATTTGGATGGTTTGAAATTCTTTATAGCGCTGCTTTTTGATCAAGCAATTCAGAACTTGGCGTAATTTTCTTAGTAGTAGATATCGGGCACCAGTACTTGTAACAAGTGATACAGCACTACGACAACAACCGTATCTTTTCCATCCGGTGCACCCTCTTTGCTCAGTTACACATGGTTGTATTGCGGCGGAGGACAATATACCAATTATATTGTACTTTTTTTGTCACGTGAACAATAGATAAACTCCGACTGCATATTCTGACAGATTTGAAATATTGCCAACAATCTCATTTCCTTTACGTTCTTACTATTTGTCTTGTCAATTTCAATTGGTAACATTTCAATATCTTGCCAGCCAGCAAATTTCTAGCCTTGCCCTTTGCTACTGTTTCCCTTGTGATTCAAACATTGCTGGCTGCAGGTCCATTCTTTTAAAGGTATGTTCACGTAAATGAAATACTTTTGTATTTATCCTGCGGATTGGCTCTTTTGCTTTAGAATAGGCAATGATTAAATATTCGTTGCTTTCCTACTAGAAATTGACTGCATTGCTTATTCAATTGACATTCTCAGCTCTTGTTTCAAACACAACGACTATTATATGATGCACAATCAACTACAGTTTTGGACTGAGACTATCCTTTTACCCACTTTGGAATAACTGTACATTGTACGATCACTATATTTGAAATCGGGTTTATCCAAATCCAGATATTAAGTTTTACTGTCGTTGATCAAATTCTATAAACTCCACTTTGTTGTATCCTAAAATCACAGATACATTCGCGTTTAGTTCAAGAGAACATAGATTGCACGTTTTAGGAATGCAGCAACTGTTTCCATTTTAATCATCCAAATACCATAATGCTCGATTTGGATGAAAAAGGGGTTGAACAAGTGTCAAAAATGTGGGATCTACCGAAACTGTGATGTCAACATTCGTTTGGTCTTTATACAAAAGTGAGCACAAAGACCAGTAAACTTTGTTAAGCAGTTTAAAAAAGAATGCTACCCAGTAAATTTGATACCAATCATTTCATGAGACTGGTTGTTTCTTTGTTCGACTCACCAGTTTCATGTGTTTGCACATATTATCCTAACTCACAATACCATCTACTTTTGTAATTAATTATAATGATACAATTAGCAGATTTGGATATTATGACTCAAAGCTTGAATATAAATCATTATACCCTAAACCATTATCAGCACTATTTAAATTCAAAACAGGGTTTGAATGAAATGATGATTGCGCACCACACAGTAAATTAGTACATATTGATCAAGATACTAATCTACTGCTTGAATTTATTTTAATACATAGGTCTGCTGGTTTAAATCCATTCACTTTGAAAATGCTTCAATCAGAGTCAAGGATCAAACACGAATATGTTCCTACCATTTTACCACTTTCCCCAGAATTTCGACCACAGGCAGCAAAATCTACCAAAAAGGTTCTTTTTTCTACACCTTCAGGTAGGCATGCAATCATTTGGTTGTAATCGAGTTTGATCATCAACCATTTCTAGCTATTTTAGCGTTATGTAGATTTACAGAGATTGATCCATGTTTATTTTTAACCTATATGATATAGTGGATTCTACTGTGGCATGCGTATGTGGTGTGATGAAACACAATGGACAAGAGTTGTTAAATACAACGTGTTATATTCCACTGACGCAACTTATATCTGCCATGTTTGCTAATTACGGTCCACAACTTTACATGACTGCTGCTAAAGACCGTGGTGCACAAGGTATATATTCTAATCTAAATTTGAAATGGTTTGAAAACAACCTTTACAAATTTAACTTTTCTCAATATCAACTTATTTGGATTTTGCATTACAGTATAACTCTGACACCATTGTATGACTGCTTTGACACAATAGATATAGCACTTGAAAAATGGAGTGAACCAAACTGTGCAAATCTACCTCGTAGAAGACATATCTCGTATACCGTAACCTCCAAACAACTGCTTTGTGAGTCTTGAATAGCTTATAAAAGACATGGACAGTTGTGTTTCTAAACTATTTGATATTTGATTATAGTTGGATCAACACATGTTCGTGTAATTGAACGGCAAACAATTGTGCAAAGTAATCCAGAGTATGTGGTTATAGCTGTCCAACTGCATATTCATTCAACGTGACTAGTAGTTTTATATTTGAACACTAATGTAGCTTTATGGTTAAACACAACAGAGGATGTGTTTTTGAATCGGAATTACAAAATCTAGATACACCATATGGCTCGATTGTTTCAACTTATCAACGAATATGCTTGTCTAGGATCAAGGCTAATCAAACCCACATTCAGATTCATGCTCGTGTGAATTTTTCCAGATTTATTCTGCTTCAAGACACCATTCGAACAGTATCCATGACGTCGCTCAAAGAATTCACAAGTGTTTTCAATAGATTGGTTGTCAACTATACAGAAAGGCATCAGACCAAACACATATTTTACTCGGTTGGAGGGTTTGCTTCCCTGTCTGAGCCTTCTCCAAAGATTGAGCCTTTACCCTATTCAGAAGCTTTTGATCTGGCAGATATAAATACAGAGAATCAGCGTCATCGTCCACATGGACCACGATCTGGCGTTATCCTAAATCCGTCGCGATGCACCAGTCCAACTGACCGCACTCAAACCCCGCTTGGAATGCAGATGCCTACATCACCAAAAAGTATGTCTCCGCTAAGTCGCTTTGTATCTGATCGTCAATCTAGCAAATTAAATTCATTTGCTACTTTGAAGAACCAAGAGGAGCGAGCCATCAATTTTCCATCCAGCGATGCTCGGAATTCGCGGCAAAGTAAGCAAAATCCAGTGACCCCAGCTACAAACTATCAGTCACCACAACCATCCATTACTTCTGTATCATGTAAAAGTGACTCTCTAAACACAGCATTATCCGCCCAACACAACTTGGCAGAGTCAGTTGGCGCATCTGAAGCTAGTAGCTCGCGTGAATTGGCAGTTTGGGACGGATCCAACTGGATCAAAACTGTTTGTACAGACGTAGCTAGCTCACCTCAAGATCTACCACCTCGTTTCATTACCAAAGTTCTAAGTACAGGGGAAGGTCCGCCTCGTCTTGTTCGATTCCGTCTATTCACAAACGCAACCCACGCTTCCAATCACAATTGCATTTCCTGCTCACATCATACGTTGGTGAATCAAGCTCATATTTCTATGCAAACCCAGGAATCATCCAACGCAGTAAGCGAATGGGTAAACTCGTTACCAATTCCTGGAGATTGGTATTACCATGATGATACTTGCATGTATTACTCGACCTGCTGTAAAGGATTCGTCACATCGCACGAAGTGTATCATATTATTTTGACTGAATCTGTGAAACAGCTACTTATCCCAGTAATTATTCGGACCATTGGAGTTAGTGGTGTACTGAATATCATTTGGGGATGCTTGGTATTGATATTCTCTGGAACAGTGACAATTGCAGAGTTTATTGGTGGAATACCGAATTTCTTGAAGCTTAATTGATAATAAAAGTGCACTTTTGTATTCCTTTAATTATATGACAAATGTTGGCACATGTTCATCAGAAAGTACTTTTCCAGAAACACTAAAGTTGCATTCACGTAAAATGGATACTTGTGATGCTTACACAGTTGCAGCCGTATTCATGTAAAATGAAACACTATCTTGCATATTACCTTGGAGTAGATAATGATTAAATATTCATTGTTTTCTTACTACAAATCCACACTCAACTCAATAGACACAACGTCCATCGTATGATGCTCAATTAAAATATTCTTTTTCCACTTTTGAAATGGTCATTGTATAATCACCAGATTCATCCATTGCAGTCGGATATTAAGCATGATTGTTGTCAATGCAATCCCTATTCTGAAATATTTCGGATACGCTTACAGTCTAGTTTAAAAATAATAATTGTAGGAATACAACAGTTGGTTCCATGACCATCATCTGGAGATCAGTAACCTTGTCAATGAGCCTGGACCACAGTATTGTCCAGTAAACTGAGCAATCATTTCATGAGATCGATTGTTTATTACATACTCTGGAGTCCTTATTTAGTGCTCCAGAGTATGTGAATACAGCTGTAATTATTCATCAGCAATAAGTTTATTCCATAGCCATCCACCATCCACTTTCCAGGACTGTTTCTGTTACCGTATCGATCTTGAACCACAAAAAATCATGATTGCTACGCCAGTTATATACCAGAACAAGGGTGTTGGTTGATGCCTGCGAAGCCGTAGTAGTACCCTTTGGAACCTTGGGACCAGGCATAAATGTTACCATGGAATCAAGAGCCTCACTTTTATCAGGCTGTCCAAGTAGCTCAAATATTTTGACAGCAGGAGTGCCAGGCTTTCCCAGTTCTTTGCCCAGGATCGTCAACAGCACATGCTTACGGCCCTGAAACCCATCAATATCCTGGTTGTATTCCCCACCGTCCCAATGTCCCTTGATTGAGCGAAGCTGCTGCAGCTCCATGCCAAACTCGGCAACTTGCTGAGTCGTCAGTGGGGCTTCTTTTGACTCTTCCTGTGACATTGTTGAATGAGATGATGCAAAGAGAGTTGAGATCTTGAGTACAATAAAAGCAAAGCCAGTAAAAATCAACAGCATGCTGCTGGTACTCCACATATATCGTCGGGACGACAGAGGCTTCATTGCTGCAGCTCCAGCAGCAGAACTAGAAATTGCTGTATAGTGTTTCATTGCACAATAAAAGTTTAAAATAGTCTAGTTTTATTTCAAAATATCAAGCTTATAGGCGACATCAATGTGGATGCAATTTAAACTATTGGCTTTTCCAAATCTAAACCTTGTACTAACAAGGTATCTGTATCATCGCCGTATTCACATGAAATAAAACACCTTTGTATCTGTCCTGCAGATTGACCTTTTCTGCTTTGGAACAGACAATGACTAAACTCTTGTTGCACTTTCCTACTACAGATTGACCATTTATTCAAGATATTTTCAACTCTTCAGTGTCGGAATTGCTTGAACCAATACATTTTTATTATACTAAAATGACTCATCAGGGTTTAAAAATAGGCAATATGGAGTTTTATACCTTGCAACATTGCTGTTGAACGATTAACGGACCATGTTTAATCAGTGAGTATGTAGATTTGTTGAAGAGCTCATAGGACACAGTATACAGTAAACTGATTTTTATTATATACCGATACTTATTTAGTGATCCATTTTACGTGAATACGGCGGTAAAAATATACCTACTACTACATAAGGCTTGAAGCAAACATTCAATGTTGTAGTAGTGTATGCACTTGAAGTCATTCCGTTTACATCTTGAATAACCAGATACCTGTCAGTGACAGTATCACATTCACATTATTGAAAATCTCCAACATGAGCATTTGTTCGATCTAGCATACATTCAAATTGAAAAAAGGGAATGTCAAGATTGATATATATTACTGCATGTATGTATCACCACTTGATCCATAGATTACTAAACATATAGACAATTTAAAAATGTTGTATAATGCCGTGATATTTACAATATCCTGATAATCTCATCTGAATGTATTACCGAGTCAAGAATAGCCCAAAATACTATTTTGACTATCTGATTTGGGATTCTTGATGTGTGTGCGTAGTTGTACAACTTGACAGAGTATGATGCCAATATCATGTATATTACCAGTTGTGCAACTATTGCGATTGATGTAATACAAATATTAGTGTATTTCAACCATCAGTCATCAGTCATCAACCATGACTCACATCCAACCCAATCTACAAACATTAGAAACTCGATCAAAATTGTAAATGCAATGGTTTATTCAAATCAGCTGATGATTATGGAAACAGATCACAGTTGACTTGCAAACCATGTCAGTAGTTTGATAAAGTGGATGAGTACGGCTTTATGCATTACCTGCATCGTCTACATCTTGTTCATCGTCTACATTATCTCCGCTGTTTGGATTTTGTTCATCGCTTGGATTCTCTTCGCTTGGATTTTGTTCATCGCTTGGATTTTCTGCATATCCATCGTTTGGATTTTCTGCATATCCACCGTTTGGACTTTCTGTAGATCTGCCAATTGGACTACCTCCAAACATTACTAATCCAAGACCTTCGAGCCATGAGTTGAGTTCTCTCTCAAGATATGTTTCGTACCAGTCAACCTCACCATAACGCTCGAACAGTTCTATCAAGGGTTCTTGTACACTCATTTGACCGCCCGTAAATTGACTTATCAGCATCTCTATACTGTCAATCGTATTCCTGAGCAGACTTGAATCCTTATTAAGGCTGGAGACTTCCCGATAAATCCCCTTTTTAAACTTTCCGATCGCCTCCAAAATATTTTTCAAAATCTCTGCAAGCTCCTCGATAAAATTGGATACTAGTTCGCTGGGTTTAAATCTTTGAAGACAATCTAAAATATTGCGAACCCATGCTTCATATCTTCCAAGAGCAAGCCAATATTTAGATAACTTTTCTCTAAAATCTTTTACTTCGGGGTGTACTCTAGAATTTATGCCTTTCAGTATTGCTTTACCAATACGTTGATGCTGCCTTGAATTTTCTCCAGAAAGATATGTGGATCCATGAGCACCACCTTGATAGCTCATTTGTAAAAATCCCGGTGTATTTACAACTAACATCAATAGTGAATCAATCGAGCCACCTCGTTGATTTTGGTGCTTTTTGGCTTTTTGATGACCAGATTTGTGTTTTTTTCCAATACCACGTAAAGTCCCACTGAGATCATAAGACTTTAGACGAGCTCCGGGAGTTTGGTTTGAATGATCGCCTTGACTGCCGCCAGGACCTTGAGTTGTCGAAGTACTCGGAAATTCCGGACCACCTGTTGCTTGTGGAACACTTTGGCTATTTAGACTTGAACTTGGATCAACAGATTCGATTGTCTCGCTGGGTTGTGGCAAAATGGCATGGACACTGGTGGCCAAGGCTGCAATTGTAAAGGCTGAGATGTGTGTGAATTTCATTTGATCAAGTATAACTATGTATGTATTATTGGAGGTCAACGAGCCTGCTTTTATAACCATCACAACAATCGATTGGAATATTTTTATACATTATTGCTATGTGTTTATTCCGCAGATCAGGGATAAGGGCCAGTATGAATACACGGCAAGGTGTTGTATGCTAAAGTAGATCTGCACAGGGCTAGGGTGGTTAGCCCTAAAAGGGTCAAGATTGACAGTGTATGTTCAAATGCTTGGTCCAAATCCAAACTGAAAATCTTATTCTAGTAGACTGACTATCACAGTTTTGTGTCGTCAATTATTACATCTTCACTTATGGCCCTGATGTCTGGTGACCCTTTTCAATCACTATACAGAGTACAATCGCTTAGTTACAGTCACCGCACAACACCGAGCTTGGTGACTTTCTGTTTAGTCAATATGCGGCCCATCAAACTGAATCGATGATTTGTCCGCATCAACAGTTGTCGATAGTTTAAATTGCCACTCAATTTGGACATCAATGTATACAATCAACTCACATCTAGATTATATCAATATATCAACTTGACGACATTCACACCCACAATCAACATTAACAATTTGGGTTCAATTGGATTGTCCAGTATTGGTTCATGATATGGCCAGCAACCATGTGTATGGTGAATAGCAAACAGGCTTTATCCGCACTTTCACAAGAGATCAGTCGTGTATATGACATTCCAACCACTACAACTGCAACTGCAACTACAGCCAACAGTGATCCAATGACAGTTTCTGGTCATCAGATCATACACTCTGCAATGCCGTTACTATATCCAAACCGTGACTCTGAATCGATATATTTGTGAGTATATTGTAAAATGGTTGTTTTCAGATCAAAAAGCCAATAAAATCAGCATATCGATATAACAATCTTGTATTGATTCATGATATCAAGTTGGATTGCTTGACAAAATATAAATGCTGCAATGATCAATGTTGTTGCTGTTGGTTTACAGTTTGGCAGCACCGCCTTGGAAACGAGTACAAACATCGGTCCAGTTGGTGACATTCCACCAGGCAGCAACATAGTTGGCACGAACATTGCGGTATTTGACATAGTAGGCATGTTCCCAGACATCAAGAGCAAGTAAAGTCATGGCACCAGTACCTGCAAACTGAGGTGCAAACTCGGGATGATCTTGATTGGCAGTGGTCACGATTGACATGGTAGAACTCGAAGGAGTCCAAGTAAGAAACACCCAACCAGATCCGAATACACCAAGAGCTGCTGCTGTAAACTGCTGCTTGAATGTCTCGATGGATCCAAACGACTTGACAAGCTGTTTGCCAAACTCGGCGTCGGCATTCAGAGCAAGCTTCTCTGGTCCCATATTCGAAAAGTAGATGCCATGGTTCACTGCCATTGCAAATAGAATACAAGATTGTTAAATTACACTAGTGGTCGAGACAATACCAGGGAGTATCACCAGTAGATATTGGGGCGTAATATCAGATATTCATATGGATTGATGCAACATACCGTAACCACCGCCATTGTTACGCACAGTCTGACGGACCTTTGGAGATGGCCAGGGAAGTGGTTCAGTCTTTCCTGCATCCTCGCGAGCAATAATACGCAGGAGATCTTCAATGGATGAAAACGATGCCTTTTCAGTAAACGCTGCACACTGCGACAGTTCAACAAGAGCCTTGTTAAGATTGTCGGTATAAGCCTGATGATGTTTGGTATGATGCAGAGTCATGGTTGCCTCATCGATATGGGGCTCAAGAGCATCATAAGCATAGCTGATCTTTGGGAGAGTCTTTGCAGTAAACATGTGTTGATTGTGGGAATTGGTCAAAGTCTGGATTGGCTTCAACACTCGAATCGGCTGCATTTCCAAAGCCATTGACGATGTAATGCATATTGAATGCTGTTGCAGAAACAAGAGCGGCAATTGGATTACTGCACACAACATCTGGTATAACTACATTTATGCTGATTTGTGTTGGTCAATTACTGGACTAGAGTTGCAGTCGTTTGGATTTTACCAGATCTACTTTACATATTGCCATTGAATAATGTCATGAATTGTCATCAATGTCAGCCCGTCGTATCAGACAATGCATTTATTTTGGTTTATCTGCACTGTTCACATTCATAAATGCATGGACCAATCAATCGATCCATCCATGAATAAATATCCAAAAATTGAACATGATGCTATACCAACTAATGTGGTAACTCGATGTTGGACCAAATCAGCTATTAACCAGTCATGATGCTCAAAACGACTCGTCCGTTTGAGGCAGTAGTCTACGCAGTGTTACCGAGATTCGTTCCGTTCGAGGATATATCTCTCCTTGCCATTGATCATTTAGTCGTACAGGTATACCATGTTTCCAATCCCATCTAGCTTCACCAGAAAGTCCAATCAAATCTCCTTGTTGAAGAAACATTTCAATCGTGCCAGCTGGTTGGTGATGGTTTTGATTGACTTTTGGCTGATGGTTTTGATTGGCATTATCAGATGGTGAAAACTCCATAATACATGAGCCGCTGATACTCGCCACAACTATCCCATCTGCAAATCGATTCACCAGATCCACATGCGATACCAGTCCATCATTTGGATAGTAATGGTTGGCAATCATGTGGTCGAATAGCGGTGTCCTGTATGCAAAAGTCGAGTTTAACTTTACAAACATGACAATGTAAACTCGAATCTATCGAGTGGCCATAGTAAAGCATGTATGCAAACATCTGACATTTTACCTTGACATCAAGGTTGGACAGACTAGCTGTTTACCCAATTGGCATAGTAGATCTAAAAAGGATGGAATAGTTCCAAATCGCACTACCTGATTAATGCCTACTTGTGGTCGGAACCAATTGTTATCCTTAATATGGGCCAATATAGATTGACATTCTGTTTCTGAAAGAGCGTGCTTCCAGAGCAATAGTCCAGGTATGGATGTGGTTTGTGGACAGCCTCTGAATGGATTACTGCCTTGCTCTACAAAGGCTGGAATATTTATTAAGCTTCTTGTTATAAATTGATTGTCACTCGATTCATTCACTGCAATTCAAATATCAAGTCTAACTGTTCCAACACAGTCACTCGTTTCTATTCTAATTTCATACGTTTTCAAT